AATGAGTGCGGTTCGCAGCAGAGGTTACATAAATGTTTTATGTGCTGAAGTCGCTGTTGACTGATTTGTCATTAACACACATGTGGGCAGTTTGTGCTACTACTGGTGCTTTTAAATACGAATTGCACTTTCAGCGTGGACCACTAGCCAAGGGTTGTTTTGTGGTTACCGCTTCAGAGTCAACCCTCAATCCAGGAGTGTGAATCACTCTCTTAATTAGAGAATGCAGTCCTGAACCACATGTAAACAATTAGCCCTCAGGATAACAGGGTTCTGTGTGCTTGTGTGCATGCTAGCCACACATATTTTGAGTATTGCAACATTTTCCAGACCTTCCTTCAAGTAATGTACCAGAGAAAGTTCAAAACACATTAACAAGAAAGACTGATTAGATTTCATGGGAGATTTTAGTTATCTGTAGGGACATTGTTTTGCTTTTCCTGTCTGCAGTAGTATCCATCAGCATTGAATTTCAGAGGCGTTAACATTTTATCATCACATTTATTTGCTTCAATATCTCCTGTTGCCAAATGTTAGTCAGGCAACAAATAACCCCCAGAAAGCTGTTACAGTCTCTGAAATGTTCAGCACATTGCTAACACAAGTGAAGAGAAGATGATACATTGTTGCATTTTTTTTTTTTACAAATGAAATCTGAGAAACTTTCTAAAACTGATATTTTATCCATCAGTCAGCAAAAGATCCTTGTCGTAGTAACCTGATTTGTCTCTTTCTGCAATTGCATTTCTCTCATCACTTTTTCATCAAGATCAGATTTGTAGGCTGTGTCAAGAACCAGTAAATCTCCCCTAAAAGAGTCAGCGAGGTAAAATTGATCACATTCACTGAATACAAAGTCACATCTTCACATTTTTTTAGAATATCTGACAGCAAAATGCCCAAAGTGATCAGATATGTTGCCCCCAACAACAATTTTTATAAAGAGACTGCCCCGCCCAAATCACACAGTAGTCTTTCCCCTACTAGCTCTTCCCTGTTCAGCTGCAGGTGCAAGGTGAAAACTAACCCACTACTTGGAGGAACTAAGTAGTACTTGGAGTATTTAGTTCCTCCAAGTACTGACCCACTTGGAGGATTAGTACTTGGACTCTGATTCACAGACGCTCCTCTCCTCACACTGTCCTTCAACAGGTAGTTGTTTGTCATACAATACTTGAATAACACAATAATTGCTCCAAAGTTTTAATGTCAAAATTAAGACCTAAACCTGACCTTAAATAATCATTCATTACATCTGAATACTTGATCGTTTTCTCAGTGAATTATTATTTCTTTTAAGCGGATTTCTTTATTGGCTGCTTAGCTTTATTTTTTTCTGCTTTGTTTTGTGTGGATGACAGTGTTTACGGTTTGGGGCCTACTTCTTCCTTTTACAGATGGTAAAAGGAAACAGTACGTTGTGAAATTATACGTCATACACACATTGATTGTATTTACCAGTGATGTTACTTTATTTTGCTGTGGATTTTATTAAGGGCTTTCGATTTTCAGATTTTGATCAAATTAAACTTTGAAACCAGTACATCATTTCCCCTCCACTGCTCAGTTATGAGGTACTTTGTATCACTCTGCCATTTCAACAAGAGTCTCTCACTGAAAACATAGGGAATTGTGGGAATTGTGCTATGTGGAAAAAATTACAGCAAAACTTCAGATGAAAAATGGTCCACAACTGAAACATTTATTTAAAAGTTCAGTTGTGTGTATTGTGATTTTTATGTTGGAAGAAAGAGTTTTCTATATTTTACACTCATGAACTGTGGACAAATAAATCCCTATATGAACCACTGTACAAGTGGCTATATATAAAGTTTATTTTATGCACTATATTTGTGATTGCTTATTTGAACAAAAAGCAAGTTGAGAAAAAAAAAACAGGCTTCCACGTTTGTCTCTTGTTTTCAAAAGAAAAAACTCCGGAGCCATAAAAAAAGCTTTTATGCAAAACTAACATCAACACATTCTTCAGCATGAAAACAACACAAGTTCATGGCTTGGAGTAAATGGTGGCAGAGGCCAAAAGAAACTGCTGACAAGTTCTGTCACTCATAGCAAGTCTGTAAAATAAAGGACATGTGTGTTTGGTTTGAAATGCTTTTCAAAGATAACCCAAGAGACACAAACATCCCAATCAGCAATGAGCACTGATTAATGACTGTGTTCTGTCCAAAGTGAATCAGGCGCATTGCTTTGAGGAGTGCAGCTTTATAACTTGGCTGGAAGTCGGAATATCTGGTTATATTTCTCAGCTAATACTGGATACATCTGAGTGCTTTTATTCTCCAAATGAAAAGAACTTTAAGACAGGCCACCCTTTAATAGAAGCAGCAAATCACAACTTCCCTCCTCCTTACTGCAGCTTTGAGTTGTGCACAAATACTGTTGCTCCGGGGCAGCAGTGGTCCAATTAAAATAAATCTCCTTTTCAGTTAAGGGCGTTTCAGTATTATCAGTCCTTCGGTGTTCTGTGAGGAAGTGATCAAACAAATGCCCTCAGCAAATTTTCTGTCTGATGGGCTTTCTAAGAGATCCAAGGAAGAAGTGTCCTGTCTGTCTTCGTCATCTAATCCTATGATTGATTTGTCTCAATGTCTTTCTTGGTATTTTTCCTTTTTGTCCTAGGCGCGGTTCTATCTATGCGTTTAAGACCTCATTGTGAATAATATATATGTTTATCGTAAATGAATACACCGTAGCATCCAGCAGACAAGGTTCTGAGTTGAGCTGCATTCTTTTGCATCAGGCTGTATGAATACTTTTCATCTTCTACCTACGACCTGAAATCGAGCGTTAATATTTTTTGTGTCTTCTGTGTTCGAGGAAACACGTGCTTCATATGTGTTCCCCTTGGAGAAATAGGAAGCATGTGTTGCTATGCATTTGTAGGATACTTGGAGTCTTTCTCATATTGGTGTGTCCTCTAGTGATGTGGAGATAGAACACAGGTGGACCACATCTGTTTCTTTGATTTTCTTATTTCCTCACAAAGAGACTCATTTTGAGTAATGACCTTTCGGCCTGCGGAGCTGTGCATCACGTTTTCAGACTAAACTTTTCCTGTTGACAAAGGGATGTTTTTTTTTTTCTTTTAAATGCTGTGTACTTAGTTTCACATTAAAAGTGTCTTTATTGCAACCAAGATTCATGTATCTAATTAGACCTAGAGGTTCTAATTAGATATTGTCTAAAAAAAAAGCAATACATGCATTTTCACTGCAAAAAAAAGTGCAAGCCCTTCATCTAAATGAATCTGTTCAGTTGCCAAGAAGGGGGAGCTCTGTTGGACTTGTGCTGGGTTTTTTTTGTTTTGTTTTGTTTTTTGTTTTTTTCATTGGATTTGGGTCTTTGCTTGTTTATGACTACACCCTCTGAGCCTCCATTTAGTTTATTAAGACCAACAAAAACTAAAACAGCTGACAACTGAAGTAAGTAAATTATCACTTGATCCTGTGGTTACAATAAAATGCTCTGCGAGTAAATTTTAACCCCTTGTGTTCGTTAAATTTTTTTAATTCACTACTTTTGTGTGAACGAAGTTCTGCCTGACTTTATATTGTTTATATCGTGTTAAACATTTCAGATATCAACTGTCTATTATCATTTTTAACATACTAGACAGTGAAGGTTATACACAGATCTTCACAGATTTCAATTGTCATCGTGTTACTTTGAAGATACCCTCGCTGGCTTTTAGGATTAAATCCAAACAATTTCCAAGTAGATTGCTAATTTGACTTTCCAATGAGCTTTTAAATAATAAATGATTACATGTTGCGGACATTTCTGCAACTGAAAAGTCAGACTCTAATGGGTGTTTTTCTGATTGCCTGATTGGCTCCTTTTTATGTCTATCCAGCAGTGTTAAGGGCTGAAGGAGTCCTGAGGCAAATATGTTAAAAAATATGTCTTTAAAATATGTTTTAAAACTATAACCATGTCCTGACAGTACCCCTATGTGACAGATGTTATATGAGAAAATCCATTTCTTCCTCCTCTCTGAGCTATCATAGTGATCTGCAAAAATGCACCGCTCCTGGTCAACTACAACTAATCAGAGGCAGGAGGAAAGTTGTAGTGCCATCTATCACACTTGTGTGAACACTGTTAATGGAGCAAACAACTCTTTACCGGAAAACAGTTCAAACATTGTTATCTGCGACCGTGATAGCCGGAATGAGTGTTCGTGAGAGGATAATAGTCACGAATGCTGCATCCTTGCAGCAGAGAGCAAGGATGAGAGTGTGAGCGGTACATACACAAGATGATTGACATCGGTAAAACATCCCTGTTTCTGATTGGTTCTTTCTGACCAAGAGACATATCTTTGCAGTTAGTACTGGGAGCAATGGCACAAGACAGAGGAGTTTGTTTTCTTTTTTTCACAGATTATTTGTTTCACACCATATCATGACAAAGTAACAGTTGCAACAAAGATGTAAAAAATATATCCATCTTTTTATAAAAGTTAAATACTGTAGCTTTAATAACAGGTCTCTTCATTTTGTTTGCTGCCAGATTCGATTTGATGTAAATCTTTACCGGAGAAGCACACAAAAATCTTCTGATGATACTTTTCCTGTAAAATCCCTTGTTAAAAAAGTATTAAAAATATACGTTTATCATTTTTCAATTATTTGACATGTAAGACACATTTCTGGCTAGATGTGAAAGTAATTGTTTGGACACCTTATACATAATTAAATAAAACTGAAGCACATAACACTCTATAAATATTCATACCATCAAACGTTCTACATGAACTGTAACGAGCCATCAGTTTTATGTTGTATTAATAATTTTATGGAATAAACTGTTTATGCAATGCCCTTTGATTGACTATTCTGCTTTATTGTCTGAATTTTTTACAGTACAGGCTGGGTGGACAAACAGAGGAATGCAGAGGTCTGCTCTGTGTTATTGATGTTTTGACAAGTCACTGATAAGACTCTATCCAACAGTGTGGATGTGCTGGAGTTTTAGTGCTTCTGCTTGTTCTATAGAAGAACTAAAACTTCTTCTCTGCAGTAGGAGGTATTTTTTTCTAACATACCTTCTCAACCAGGACACAATACTGCCTTCTGGCTGTTACAACAAACCAAATAATCAGGATCATCTTCACTAATCTGGAGTAGTTTGGAGATGTCTCGTCTACTTAGACTCTTCGTGTTTCTTTCTGGTTTCTGCTACATTTTTGCTTCTCCAGAGGTCTGCACCAACTCCCTCATACCCGGAGCTAAAGGTGGGTTAAGATATAAACCTGCTCATTATATCATTTAGATAAGCTTTTTTAATCGAATTTTAGGAAAGAAAACAAAATCAGCTCTTGGATTCAAGCAATTTTTGCTCATACTTTTAAAACATTTTTTTTTTTTTTAACTACTTTAAGCTTGACAAACAGATATTTCCTGTAGAGAAACCCCTGCAACATTTTAGGGTTTACTGAGAAGATGATAAACACACCAAGCTTTAAATATCCTGTAGTTTACAAGCTGGCTGTCTGCATACCAATCGACTTGAAGAGAATGCCTTCCCATGTGTGTTTTCCATTTTACAACATCCAGTAGCTTGCTATCCTGCTGCGTCAGACAGACAGAGCTTATAAAATTCAAAGTTGTGCTCCAGTTTCAATTTTTTTTTTCTATGCCTTTTTACACAAATGAAAAACGTACCCTGCAGCTCTGGCTGAAGTGAAAGCCAGCCAGATTTTTCTCAATCCATGCTGTAAAAATCTATAAAACGTTAAAAGGCCATTTATCACATTACGTGTTCTTTTGGACTAATAATTTTAATATTTTTCACTTTCGCAAACTCACTCTCTAGTGCAGGATAGTGGCGACACGCATCAGGAAAGAGGCAACTGTATCATCACATGCACTTTCACAACCTTCCCCTGACTTCTATCTAAAGAAAGTCCCATTGAGTCAGTGTGTATTTAGACAGCTGCCACTCGGGTGAACTGATTATTTGTACAAGACTCATCCAGATACGAGTGACCACAAGGTCAGTCTCCCACTGAATAGTTGAGTGGGCGTTGGACGTGCATTTTTCTGTGTTCCATACAACCCAAAAAATGTCTTATTTATTTAAAACTAGAAGAAGAAAAAAAAGACTCACTTTTTATTGCTTTTACTGGTAGCAGACTACATACTAAAATAATTTTGGCAGTGCTTGGACCGTGTTGATGTGAAAATGTTAACTTTAAAGAAGAAGATACAAAATGAAAATCACGTGTTTGACAGAGTTAGAATTACATTCACATTTTCTGAATACGGTCTCATCAGAGGGTCCAGCAAAAAGCAAATAATTAAAATTTGCCTGAGCTAAATTTTAATTATTTAAATATATTTAAAATATATTTTAAATTGATTTTATGGGGTTGCTCAACGCTGTTTTTTTTAATTTATGTATTTTGTGAAAACCTGTGAAAAAAAATGTACCCATTCTTTTTTTCTTTCTTTTTTTTTTACTGAATAGTTCAAGCAGACTGCATGGTAGATATCAGTACAGGTTTCCAGTTTGAATGGGCTGTTCTAACACACTGATCCAATCTATTCCACTGTAGCACTGAGTGTATTTTTTGCATCATCATCCAACTTCTTCTAAGGTATCCCTCTATTTAGCTCCATCAGTCTTACATCTCTGACCAACTTACCTGTCACTGCTGAGGAAAAGCAATGTGACAGTACAATGCTGCTGACACCATGTCAAGGAGAGGTGATGGTGTGTTCAGGGCAATTTGCGGAATTTGCTTTTTTTCTGATTAATACTCTTATTAGGCCACGTTTTGGTAGGTTGGAAGTAGAACCTCACCTTTTTAATGCTGGCTTGAGCCGTGAAATTTTCAAATTCTGGGATGTTGTTTCACAACCCAACTCTGTTTTAAACTTTAACTTTATCCCAGATCTGTCTGTTGTGATGGCTGTTCTCTAGCTGTTTCCTAGGAAGCCTCTGAGGCTTAACCGCTGTAATGATCCTGAAATTTCATTGCACAAGAATGGACAGGAGAGTCATTTACAGAGTATCTTGATTTACTCAGAGGCATCAAGAGGGTAAATAAAATGCAACCCACACTTTTCAGATTTTTAAGTCCATTGCTCATTTTCTTCCCATTTCACAATTGTGCCCTACTTTGTGTTGTTAAGTCACAAAAATCCAGATAAAATACACTGAAATGCAACATGAAAAATGCAAAAAAAGGTTGTGCAAAGTTCAGTAAATTTGACATGAAGAACGTCAGTTTGATGGCCCACCTTAACCACATATAAATTCGGTATTTTAATGGTCTCAGTTGAAAATGATACACTATCAGCAGATATGTGAGATTCTGTTCTGATTTCCTTCCAAGTATTTGGTCATCAGTGACCGGCCAAAAGCATTTCTCAAAGATCTCAGTAGTGGTTTTCACTGTGAAAAGTTATTGTATTTAAATACAATGATAGCACTGCTATTAAAAATATCTTGGCAGAGGCTATATATTAAAGTAGTACGTGGTGTAGTGAGCTGAGAGTCTTGTGACAATACCTGCACAGGGATTCATACACAAATGTATTGAACCAAATAAATTAACTGAATGTTTTCTTGGTCTCGTGAATGTGTTATTGCATAATGTGTCGTCCTCCTAACAGCTTAACACCGGGGCAAAATAATGAATTCGTGTCAGCTCAGTTGTCTTTGTTGAAATCCAGGAGATCAAGGTGATGCTGGAGAGCAGGGGGAAGAGGGAAAGCTTGGGAAGAATGGACCACCCGGATTGGCAGGTACAAAAATATTAGTCACGCATTCACATTCGTACAATGATTAAACGTTTTTAGCCTTTTTTTTTTTTTTACATGCATGGAAACAAAAAAAACCCATAAAATTCACAATGGGCAGCACCACCTGGCCAAAATCAGTATTGTTCCTATTTTTAGTTAAATCCTAAGTAGCTCACTTCCCTGTTGAAAAATTTGGATTTCGGTTTGAATATATGAAAATCTAACCTTACAAAGATATATATGGTGTTTCATTTGTTTGTTTCCAACATTTAGCAAAGGTCAGACAACTGAAGGACAAAAAAGGGAAGTAAACAAGAATCTTCTTCCTGCACTGTTTTATATGTTGCCAGAGAAAGATCAATTTTTTTTTCTTTGTTTTTTACGAGAAATCTTCCAGCACTGACGGTGGTTTTCACATGAAATGTTAATGTTGTGTCCTAAGTAACAAGCCATAAATATAAATACTCAGGAACTACTAAAAACCAGACATTTGCTCCCACTTTAAAACAAGTGATGCCTTTTATTGTAGCCATTTTTAGGCGAGTTAGAATTACCAAAATTGATTCCATTTTCTAAATAATTTAAAAGGAAGTTTATTAAAGACTTGTTTCATTACTTTCCACAAAGTCAGTGTCAGAACTCTGGGTTTTTGGGTTGGTTTTGCTTCTCATTTTATTTAGCTTCATGGTTTAGTTCCCTTTAGTTTAACCCTTCATGGTTCTTGTGATATTATTATTTGAGGTATTTAGTGAAATAAGAATTGTCTTATTGCTTTCCTTATTTTCAGTGCTTCAGTGTTTCCATACTTTTGTTACCTGAAGTTCTGTCCTTGTTTGTCTGACTCCATGTCAAGCCTTCTTCAATGATGATAGTTTAATTCTTTCTTTTTTCCTTCTAGTTATTTATTGTTTCAGCCTCCCGGCAGTTTTTATTGGCAGTATTGTTTGTTTCTTAATTTCATCACCCGAGGTTCAGTTATTCTTCCATGTCTTAGTCTATATATATATATCTTCCGCTAGTAATTCTCGTTAGGTTATTTCTTAAGTCCTTCCCTGTGCCACCTTCTCCCCGCCCTTCAGCCAGCTCCTGTGCCAATTACTCACACCTGCAATCACTCTAGCTTGGCCATTGTTCCATTAACTACCTCCCCGTATTTAAGCTCTTATATGCCAGTCGCAACTTGCCAGTCCGTCTCGTTGCCCCGATTGTCATTACCTGTGCGTCCCTCCCTGCATTACTTGTTGTTCCCTCGTGTTTCCAGTTTTCTTGTACCCTTGAATTTTTTTTTTTGTTGGTGAATTTTTTTTATTAAAACATCCATTTATTTCTATGCCTACTGCCTGCTGCGTTCCTTCACACCACATCATGACAGTCAGAAGTTTATTTGCTCTAAGAGTCTCTAACTTCAAACACTTTGTGAAAGACGTCATCATCTGACTGTGCCGGCTTCTAATTATTATTTAAGTTTAATAGTACCGAGCTCTCAAGCAGCTCTCTCGCAGAACATCAGAGCGAAAAGAAAAGAACCAACCCAAGACATCTGGAAAAGACTTGTTGACCTTCACAACTCTGGTTCATCTTGTTACAGCTTCCAGATCCCTTATGGTGCCACATTTTTCTGTTCAAAACACTACAGATAAAAAAAAAAGTCTTTTACTTGTGAACACAAGTAAAAGACCTTGTGAAGAAACTGGCTGAAGCTGGTGAAAGCAAAACTGTTATTGACGCTAAAGCAAACCATGTATTGACATGATAGGAAAGACCACTCAGAGGGGAAGAAGTCAACACTCTAATAAATAAATAAATATGGATCAGATTTTTTTCAAATGCGCACAGGAATAATTATCTTAATCTTTGCAGATTAAGACAGCCCACATTCTACTTGGAAGGAGAGTGAGGGAAAACTAACTCCATTCAAGCTGTGAAATCCAGCATCTAGTTTTGTGAGTGTTTTGCAACCTGAGGGACTGGTGCGCTGCGCAAAATGGGAGAGAACCTTATGTGGAAATAATTAAGAAGCATCTTATAAAATCCGACTGATTAAAGTTTGGTCACAAACCCTTCTTTCAAACGGACAAAAACTCAAAGCCTCTGACAAACTTGAGTCAGTTACACCAGTTCTGTCATTAATTGGCCAAAAGGAAGCATGAGCAAGGAGACTCAAATGTTTGACCCAATCAAAAAGAACAGTCAATTCCACTGAGTACTGCATAAGTACTCTGTGCTTCTGGCTCTAATGAAACTGTTTTAAAAATTCTGCTTAAAAAAAAAAAGGCTCTCTCGTTATTTTGGTGTTTAGTAATACGGAACAATTTGAGTAATCATCACTGACTGACTTAACGTCAGACAGTAGAAAACAGTCTTGCATGTAGCCATCTGGTTTCAACTGCTTTGTGTCACACAAAAGGCAAACTTAAAGACACAACTTTTAGACTTTCATTCACTCCATGTCATGACACAAAGCAATGAAGTATTTCTCGCTTTTGTGTGAGTACAGAGGACACACCGAGAAGGTATGAGAAGCACATGAGAACCTTTTTCAACTTTTCAACTTTACGGACATTATTCACAACCTTTCATTATGGTTTTTCTGTCTGTGCACTTACTGACAGCCATGAAAGCAGGTCTCTACAATGATTTTGTTAGTACACCATGTCGGCAGCGCAACAGATGACGCATGTATTCCCAGTCTTAATTTAGGCAGTGTTACAGGAAACAGTTGCTTAATTTTGGAAGCTTAAAAGGGAATCCATGACTCTCAATACTCTGGAGGGTAACAAAAACTATTTGTTTGTCTGAATGTATTAGCATCAAAAAGCTGTTAGCTATATTCTTACTGGATTTAGTAGGATTTGTCAGTAAGTTAAATGGAAACATTCACCCACGTGGTGCAATATTTTCCCATCCAGTGAGAAAACAATAGTTAATAACTTAGCATATTAAATTTTTTCTATTTCTGATGTTTGAATATTTTTAAGCGGCCTAATGCTGTTTAAATGTGTCGAGTTGCACGTTTCTTTTGGGGAATTGCACCTTTCACCTCTTTTATCCGCCAGCAGCTGGAGAAACCAGTCGTTAAACCAGTTTGAGGAGTTGGCCATTGTAAAGTGTGACTGCAGTGATACAAAGGCCTGTTATCTGGACGCTCACACAGACCGTTTAACTGGCGAACGTACACACTGCCAAAACAACATTAATCAGATGTTATAGACACAGAGGGAATGAGGAGAAAGAGAAGCCAAAATCAGTTTCTTCCTCTCACAAAAGACAAAAACACATAATCACTTCTCACAGTGAGCTCTCTGCTTGAAAACATTTTCTCTGTGAGGCTGCCTGCAAAGCATTTTGACAAATAATTCATGCAGAACGTGATGTAAAATTTGTGAAACCTTCTAAAAAAAACAAGAGCATTAAGTTGTGAGAAAGTGCGACAGTGGAGATGGAGAATAGTTTTGGAACTTTTTAATCAAGACGTGAAGAACCTTTTTGGGACGTGAATATTTGTGAACATCGGATTATAAAAGTAAACAGAATCAGTCAAGGTTAAGGTTCTGATTAGATATGAAATGCTTTCTCAGTGGATACTCTGGAGCGAAAAAATGTTTTTTGCCTTCCTGAATTTCTATTTTTGTGCATGTTTTTCACACTTAAGCGTTTCGGAACATCATACAAACTGAAACATATGTCAACGACAACACAAGTAAAACCAAAATGTAGTTTTTGAATGAAGATGTTTATTATTATGGGAATAATCTCGCCCAAGGAATTAAAACCTACAAGGCGCTGTGTAAAAAAGTGATTTCCCTCCCTGTTTAAACTAAATTTAACTGTGGTTTATCATACCAGAGTTCACAGTCTCTAGCCACATACAGACTTGATAATTGCCACACTGTTCTCAATCAAGATATCACTTAAATGTTTTGATTGAGAACAAGGATTGAGAACTGGCTGACTGTCTGAAGTTCACCAAATGATCCTGAAAAGGTAAACATTATGCAGAGATCCAAAAACAAAAATTCAAGAGCAAATGAGAAAGAAAGTAATTGAGATTTATCTGTCTGGAAAGGGTTACAAAGCCACTTCCAAAGGTTTACGACTCCACCAAACCACAGGGAAAGCTGTTATCCACAAATGGCGAAAACATGGTACGGTGGTGAAACTTCTCAGGAGTGGCCAGCGGACCAAAATTATCTCAAAAGCTCAGCGACGACTTATCCAAGAAGTTATAAAACACCCACAACAACATCCAGAGAACTGCAGGCATCACTTACCTCAGTTAAGGGCAAAGTTCATGCCTCCACCATAAGAAAGAGACTGAGCAAAAATGGCCAGCATGGCAGTGTTCCAAGACAAACAAAATATCCTGCTGAGCAAAAAGAACATTAAGGCACGTTTCGTTTTTTTCCAGAACACTTCTTGATGATCCCCAAAGTTTTAGGAAAACATTTTGTGGACTGACGAGTCAACGGTTGATCTCTTTGGAACGTATGTGTCCCATTACATGTAGCGTGAAAGTAACACATTTCAGAAAATAAACATCATAACAACAGTAAAATATAGTGTTTGTAGCGTGATGTTCTGGTTCTGTTCAGCTGCTTCTGGACCTGGAAGACATGTTGTGGTAAATGAACCATGACAATCCTGAAGGAAAATGTCAACCATCTGTTTTCTTGGCCTCAGACTGAAACCAACTTGGGTTCTGCAGAAGGACAATGATCCAAAACACACCAGCAACTCCACGTCTGAATGACTGAAGAAACATAAAAAACTATGGAGTGGCATAATCAAAGCTCTACCTTAATTCTATTAAGATGCGGTGGCGTGACCTTAAAACGTCTGTTCATGCTGGAAAACAATCCAATGTGGTTGAATTACAACTATGCTGCAAAAGTTAGTGGGCCGAAATCTTCCACAGCACTGTAAAAGATCCACCGCAAGTTGTCGTAAATGCTTGATTCCACTTGTTGCTGGTAAGAGTGGCCCCAAACAGTTATGAGGTTTGGGGGGTAATCATTTTTCACACAGAGCTATGTAGGTTTTGATTTGTGTTTCCCTTTATGATCATCTCCTTCATTTAAAAACTGTAGTTGATGTTCTGATCAGCTCAAGTGTGGGAAACATACAGAATAATAGAAAATCAGGAAGAGGGCAAGCACTTTTTCACACCACGGTAGTTCTTATAAGGCTAGCAGGACATCTTTTATTTGCATGTGTGTAAGTGCATTTTAGCATTTGAAAGGCCGTCAATGCAAAATCCTAATATGCGTAGAAATGCTAAGTTCGGGGTCAGGGTTGGGTTATAGGAATGAATTTAGAAAAAACAATTGAAGTCAAATCAAAATTCCTGTGAAGACAGAAAGACACACTTCTGTTTGTGTGTGTACGCGTGCACATATGGCTGTGTGCCTGTGTGTGTGCGTGCGTGCGTATGTGTGTGTGTGTGTGGGTGTGTGTGTGTGTGTGTGTGTGTGGGTGTGTGCGTGTGCGTGTGTGTGTGTGTGTGTGTTGCAAATCCTTCTAAAAACAATCTGGCCTCTTCAGAACATCACTTAGTGCTTGAAACACCATTAGTTTCCAGTTGAATAGTTTCCTGAGGAAACACTAGTTCAAGAGCTGGCAGAACGCCTCTGTCTGCTCTGTATGATTCCCACACAAACGCTCTCACTACCACAGGTTCTCCTTTTCTTATCTTATTCTATTTTACATTCTAATTTCTTTTCACTGTATGCAAAGCCATAGGGACAATAACAAGGTCTTTTGTATCTTGCAAAAAAGTATTCACACACCTTGAGCTTTTTCACATAAATGTTCTGTTTCAACCACAAACTTCATTGCAATGTTTCATTTGACAGACTTTTTTTTGGCATCTTAGAAAGGGAAAGATGCGATCGATCCAAGCAGTTTTGGCTTTGGGGATGATGTACAGACACAGTGGAAGGACCACATTGAGAATCTCCTCAATTTGGTCTCCCTTAAGGAAGCAGAGTCTGAAGGCAGTTTCATCACAATGCCAGGTGTGGATGTAGGCGTTGGACATAGTACAGCTGACCTGATTGGTTTGTCTCTTTATTATCTCATGGACCTCAGATTAAGGAGGTGCAGCAGTGCTTTCATCTTGACTAAAACAGTGGCCCAGATCATTACCCTCAAGAAAATACTGGCTGTTTGTTTGGCCCATAAGGGTTTTGTGTATATGAAGAAGGTTTACAAGACTGTGCCCCAAGGTTTTGGGGGGTGATGCTGTTGTATATCCCATACTTGTTCCTCCATTCTACTTGTTCAAATGCAATTACATGATATTGTACAAAAAAAGAGGAAAACTAAAGTTCAATTCTGAAACAGTGTTTTATTAATTATTCAAGGTTGTTCAAGTTTCCTTCTAGAAATCAGAGTATATAGCATGACTAACTACAAAGCTTACTTGTTCCATAAATGTTTAAAAGAATCTGGATCAGTTCTTAGAATAAATAAAAACATATTGATAGTTGAATGAACATTTGTATTGCCATTCTAACCCTTTTTAATCAACTTACTTTCTGTTTTTTTTTTTTTTGTGGCGTCTCAAGATGAAGCGACTGAGAACAATTGGATTACAGACCAAAATGAAAATTAGTTAATGCCATTTTATGTCTTGTCAGTTTCTTAAATCCCTAATTAACCTAATTTATTGCTCCTTTTTCTTCACTCAGGTGTGCCAGGTGAACCAGGTCATAAAGGAGAAGTAGGTCCCACAGGAAAAATGGGCCCGATTGGAGAGAAAGGTTAAATTAATCATTTTAATTCCAAGTTCATGCCATTGTCTATCAATTCCCTCTTTTAGTCTTCTGTTTAAAGCTTTTGTAAAGACACAAAGCTTAGTGTCATTAATCATATTTAGTGTTTACTTCAATCAGAAGCTCAAGCATGTGTTTGTCTTTAAGCAGTCTAAAGAAGGAAAAAACACATGATGACAAATTATTTTTAGGTTTTATAGCCATTCACTGTAAAAGTTGTGACATCCGAACTGTCCTTAAAATTTTAGAAATATCACAAAGACAAAATCCTTTGAGCTTCGATGACTCCTCTATGCTAATAAAATAAAAACAAGAAAGCAGAAAATTCTTCCCCATGTTGGAACGCTTAATTAGTTTCAAGCCTAAAACAGAATTAATATGTAGCTTTAAATGGTTCATTAACTAATTTAAAAGTACAAAATGGTCCACATGAAGCTTACCTAAGCGTAAGGGTAAGCTATGTGACATCAAAAGATAGAAAACCGTCTTTCCTGCAGTATGATGTCAGGCTCATGCATTAACCACTGTGTCTTTATTCCAGTTTTTATAGGCAGTCGAGTTCCCCTGCCTCTCTGTACATGCAGCGTTCCATGCGTTCATCATGTTTAATACTCTTACAGGAAAGTGACTCTGCATCAGCCTTCTCACAGAAGGAGTGAGGTCACAACTTTGGATTAACAATGAGACTGGAAGTCCAGAGCTCATAAAACACCTGGGGGAAAACAAAATAGACTCGGGATAATGCCAAGTGCAGCAGGGTTCAAAACTAAAACTGAGCTACTGTTTTATGGCATGTTAATACACCCTCACAGAGCCATTAAATGCAGTGAATTTCCACATCTGCAAAGGGTTAACTCATGTTGTTACCCAAGTCATGTTACCTTATAGCAGTACATCAGCAGGCAATGATTTTATTTGCTGTAATACCATAGATTTCACTGTTCGTTTTGTTTGTGCAAGAGAAACTCATGACAATATTATAACTAACGACATGAAGACGCCGTTTATTTCTTTATGTTCTTGGATATAACATTAGTAGACATTGCTGGAATTTAACATAAGTGAAAGTTTAAATCTTATGAGTTCATTGTCTTTATGCCAGGAGGTTCAAACTGTAATCTTTCCACCAAATGGAGCTGTGCAGGTGTCACATGTCACTCTTCTGTTCCTCATCCATAAATAGGCCATTGTTATGTTTGAACAGCAAATCACTTCCCCAAACCTTACAACTGCCACTTGGGTTAATTTCCACTGTGAAGCTGCAACATGAGTAAACCGGCGAATTATAGATATTAGCAAAAAGAAATAAAATGATTCAGTTACCTCTAATGTGAAATTTGTGTTTAAGAGCTGCATATTGTATTTGAACTATTGTACCATAAGCTGCAGTGAGATGGTTTGTGACCAAGGTAAATCTGTAAGGGAGAGCAAGTTTTAAGTATGACCCTGCCATCTGCTGGTGAAATTGAGATACCACATAATGCATATGTTTTTTGTTTTTTAAATATCAATTGGATTTTTTTTAGATATATATTTTGTTACTTTACAAATTCTGTGTATTTTATCATCTTTTTTTATTTGTGCTACACCAACACACAGTCAGCCATATAGAGACGTGGATGGTGGATGACACAGTCAATGTTTTTCTTATAAAAAGTCTGCAGCCCTTTTGATGCTGATATCTTAAAAAACAATCCAGTGTAAACTGTTGTCTTTAGAAATAATGAAAATCAGCAGAAATCGACAACTTAGGTGCAAGGTTCTGTTGACAAGTCAGTGCCAAGACATTACAAAAATAAAGTCAAAGGAAGAGTTTTTTTTTTAATGATTGTCACAAGTTATGTAAGGGACACGAAGCAAAGATGGAAGGAAATTTTTGGTTTAGAAGAGACCGCTGTTGAATCTCTGGGCATGTTTGCAATTACTGTGTGTTTGTTTGTGCACTGGCTGCCCATCACCCTGAGTAATGTAGGAAACTATTCCTACATTAAAATATGTTTGTAGCTGGCTGACAGCATTATGTTGTGGACATGATTTCTTCAGTAGCATCAGGGAAGCTGATCAGAGTTGATATAAAGGCTGAACAAAGAGCCATAGTCAATAGAGGATCTAAGTGTAGACTCAATAATTCATGCAACACATTTCAGATTTGTTCTCAGAAACTTTTTGAAAGTCAGGTATGTTTTTCAAATATGGAACTATAACACACATAAAAGAAAATGTTCAAGGGTGTGTGAATACCGTCACAAAGCACAATTCCTTTAAAATGGCTGTGCATTTGTGATTTTTCTCGATCTCCAGGTGACAAAGGTCCTAAAGGTTTTGATGGACCAGCTGGGCTCAAAGGACAAACCGGTGAGAAAAATTCAAACAGACACCTTTTATTTAGATCATGTTTGCGTATATTTCAAATTTAATTTTAAATATTCTGGACTCCAGTTAATGTTTCTATAGAATACTTTCATACTCTACTGTCTTCCCTTCTTATTTGTCTATATTTTTACTTTCTGACAAAAAAGATAAATTATATACTTGAGGCAGCGGATTAGTTATTACAATTATTTGATAAAACACAGTAAGTTGTGACAATGCTTGTTTTATCTATCAGGTGCAACGTGTGACTGTGGGAGGTACAGGAAGGTGGTTGGACAGCTGGATGAGAATTTAGGGAAGCTGAGGAACACTGTTAAGTTTGTGAAGAGCGGTGAGTTGTCAGTGAGAATTTTTAACCAAACATATTGAGAGAAATGCCAAGATAAAGTTAAACCATCTCCCCTTGCGATTAAGTATTTTTGTTTTTACGGGAATAATTTTGCCATGGGGTCCAATCAAATCTTGACAAATTACAAATGTTTTCTCCTGTATGGAGTACTAATTTAATGTGTCCTAAAACAAAATAGGTGGATTTGATGAAAACTTTCCCCACATTGTTGTCTGAGGACTTATCATTATTTGCTATATGATGTGTGAAGACTCACTGTTATTTGAGTACATTTATAATGAAATAAATTATGCTGAAATAAATGATTCACTCCTAAATTGACTCAAATTATTCTGAAAATCTTTCCCGTTCAGTTGTGCTGGGCTTGAAGGAGACAGAGGACAGATATTACCTGCTTGTGAAGGAGCCCAAGAAGTTCAGAGAGGCTTCTATGAACTGCAAGTTAAGGGGAGGCACGCTGGCTATGCCAAAAACTAACAACATCAACCGGCTCATGGCAGACTACATCAGTCAGGCAGGGCTGACGAGGGTTTATGTGGGAGTGCAAACTCGGAGCAAAGACACGGTAAGTGTTCAGGACCTCCAGGTAGAAAGATCAGCGACAGTGATGCTACTTTTAAAGACGGCACATTTTATGTTGTGTGGATTGCTAATTTGAAGATTTTTTTTCAACTTTTTTTTTTTTTTGTTAAGGATGGAACTGGAAGTTATATTTATGCAGACGCCACCCCTCTGCAGGAGTTTGCAGTGTGGAGCCAGGAAGAGCAGCTATATTCCACATTATCTCCAGCCACCAACTTGAGCTGCGTGGAGCTGCTCAACACTGGGACATGGAATAAAGTGGAGTGTGAAACTGCCCTGTTCTTCATCTGCGAGTTCCCAAGGAGCAGGAGAAGAGGGAGAGGAGGAACGGCTGCTTCCGCTTCATAATGACATTTAAAATTAAGGAATACCAATATAACTGGTTTGCTGTTTTTGTCCACACAGAAAGTGGCAGCAAAGAGTTGCCCTTGCTTAAGCGGGATTGAAAGAAGAGCTGAGACAAATTCAGTCACTTTTAATAACATCATCTGAAATATGCAACTCAACAAAACATTTACTTTATTGTTATACAGGAAAATATGCATTCCATATCATGATTTCTTCTTAAATGTCATATTTGTTAATAGTTTTTAGTGGTATCATCATGTTTTAATTGTCTGTAATTTGCATTATGTCTGGCATCAAAAAATAAGGGATACATTTAATACAAACATGGGTTGCCTTTCAACTAACTTTACTCATACACTGCTTCATTCAAGAGCTGCTGTATCCTGTTTAGGCTCCTGAGGGATAGCACAGAGGTTGGTCTTTATTTCTACTTTAAAATCAAGTTTAACAGTAAAGCACAAGACAACTGAGTTCAACATATGCAAGCGGAAAAAGACAGTCTGTCAAAACAACCTTATCCAAAAAGAAAACACAAAACTAGTTTATCAAGTTTCAACACCTGACCCATAACATCTGTTGTTGGTTGATGATGGCCAGGGGCTTACAAAACCTAAGCAGCATTCTGCTTCAACCGAGATTTTTACAGCAAGATCTGGACAAGTCTGACACACATCAATTCTTGCCAGAATTGATGGCAAGATTTTATCTCCTTCTGGGTTTTACTTTGCAACGTACAGATTCATGCATTTTAATAATGATAGATTCACATGAGTTGCATGAGGAATCTGTGCTTTTAAATAAGTGTCATTATAGATCTTTGGAACCTAAATAATTGTAGGCAAATAAATAAAGCAGAGCCACTGTTTGACTTTATTAAGGTGTCAATAAAGTTTTACTCAGTATTCTGTGATTTTCTATTTCACAGAAATGGAAAATTTCTGTGAAATTTGTGTCACACAAAGACCCATTGTTTTAAGAGCAAATAATTGCAATGCTCAAAACAACAGAAAGACCTTTGTTGCTCAAGACGTACCAACGCTAACGTGAAGATTTTCCTAAGCACTACTCGAATTTTATTTCAAATCATGTGCTTTGGTGGCTGAGATGAAACAAAGATTAAACCTTTCAGCAAGGAACTCTCTGGAGGGCCGGAAAGTACTAATATAAGTAAAAACACAAATTTGAAAATGGTGATGGCTCTTTGATGCTGTGGGTATTTCTCCTCTATAGCTCTGGAAATATGATCAATGTTTTCATCAATGCTTTAAAATGTCAGGGTAAGCAAGTAAAAAATCTTCTGTCAGAAAACTAGTACTGCGATTGCTTGCTTAAACATTTTATTTGTCAGGTGAATAATAGCCTTCTTTTAAAGGCTTCATTTGCTCACTTCACCTTGCAAAGATTCTTTAGTCCTATGAGGTTGAGGGCATAGCTTTTGTTGACATTTCTCTTCAAGTAGCCCCATAAATTTGACTAAATTCTGTACAACGGGAACCCCGTTCCCAAATAGCACCAATTTACCAAACATATTGCAGCTCTTTTAGTTTCTGACAGCCTGTTGACAGCCTTCCTGATCATTTTCCATTGTGTTTTTTTGTTTTTTATTTTCGTTGGCTTCTTAGTTGTAGAGAAATTTCAATTTTAATAATGAACAGATGACTACCTTAACTGCTGTAATGTTCTTTGTGCCAAACTCCTGACTGATACCTTTGTACAGTATAATGATTCTAACTTTTGGTCAACTCTATTCCTTCTACAGGCTAACTAGGAGTTTGAATTAATTTGAATAGGTTTCCACACGAAAAACGAGCCGTGTCCTTTCAGAGGTTATATCAACACTGTCTCACATAACCTAGATAATCATTAACTGTGACTTTAGATAGAAAGCTGCTATTCTCAACAGTACTCCCCCCATTTAAAAAAAAAAGAAAACATACAATGAATTTAAAAAAAGATCATTCTTGTTAAATAAAATAAAGTATCTTTAATGTAAATGCATGAAAAAGTGTTGTCTGTTTCTAATCAATACTCTTCTCAAAGCTCAGACCTCAAACTGTTATTTACTTACATGTCTGTGCTTCACACTGTTTCTGCATGTTGAAGTTTTAGCAGATCACACTCATTGTCTCTCAGCTTTCATGTAATTTAACGTCAAGCAGGATTTAGAGGTGGGGAAGTTAAATCTGCGCCTTATCTGCTGGTGGATGTAATAGTTCACGAAGAGAATCAAGTGTTCTTACTGGAAACTGCTGCCTTTACTTGGAGTTGGATAAAAGATCAGCAGGAAAAAGGCAGCAAACCTTTACAATGTTAAAGCAGTATTGTCCTGTGGTGAGGATGTAGAATTATCCAAATAATTAACTTAATTATTTGCTCACAAAAGCTATTGTAAAATTTACGTTAGGTATGAAGAAATGGAAGTAATCTAATTACTTCCACAGAGTAACTGCATTCCATTTAAATGATGAAATAGTAGTCCGGGTGGGAAATCAATATGTTGACATCCTTCCGAGGTTATCTGAACCTATTTCAAATAAAATCATAAAACAATAATGATAAATTAACAGGCTTTTTTCCAGTTCCTGGCACGAAGTTAAAAGAAGGCTTTCTGGATCTAGAAACTTCCCTGCCTTCCTTGAATGCATCGTGGCTTTCCAAGGAGTGGCCGCTGCACCTGTCCAACCTGTTCTGGGGATACATGACTCCAGAGGAATTTCTCCCTCTTTTCCCGTCTTTTGTTCAGCGGCGAGTTTTCCGCTTGTTTTCTTTTTTTTCCCTGAGTGTGGACCGTGTGAGAGCCAGAGGAGAGAAGAAGGGGAGACAGATAGAAGGCAGTTAAAGAGATGTCGGAGCCAGCCGCTAACCCCGCCGCCACCTCGTTTCCAACGCCAACTATTTCATTACCTTTGGGACTGGAGGTGTTGAGGACCTACTCTGGAGTCCTTGTCTGTTTGGAAATAGTAAGTCATATTTAGCACAAAAAAAGGGTTATACACCTAGTTATCCAGTGTGTGAGTAGTTGTTATTTCTTTAGAAATGTAACGCTTACTATTAAGAATAGACTTTAGGCGGAATCTAAAACCTTTTTATTCGGTTCTGAGAAATCGCTTGGTGTCAGAGTTGTAAAGCAAACAAACCAGTTCTCCGTGATTGCCGCAGGTGAGACTTATTGCTATGAAGATAAATGTGACTTGCAGCTATAATGACCCGGTAGTCCATGCTTTTAGGCATGTATTTAATTTCTATTCCACTGACTACTTTTATTTTTTATTTTTTTAAATCATGATTCGCCTTACTGCTGTATTTATGACCTCTATGGCAACCCATTGGTTCTGGTTTGTCCCTGCACCAGAATGCCCTTTGACCTACAAGGTGACCTCTTCAATGACTTTATTTATAACCAATAATCTTTCGGATAATTTTACTATTAACTGGGAACACCTTTGCTACTGAAGGCTTTTATAGGCCTAGGAGTGGATAACTGGCATTCAAATGCTGACTTTCAGCTTTCCTGATAGCGGCTCCATCCAGTTGGCTCCAGAGTATTCCATTTAATTTTGCAGTGGCGTCGTACTGACTTCAGATACACAAGAGTGACATTCTTCTACCAGCTTTGCACATCAGGAGATTGAAACTTTATATCTTTACGACTCAAATTCAGTGAGTTTGAGTGGTGAGATGTGAAAATCAATTTCCAAGTATTCCCACAGACTCTCAAATGAAACCTAGACTCATCAGCCTAGACTTTGACTAGGCCTTTATGAATCTACTTTAATCTAAAACCACCCAACTGTTGCTCCAGACTGTATGTTGAGGGCCATTTTCCTGTGGGAAGGGATTACTCAGCCTCAGCATTGTGTTTTCAGCCACAACTGTATCCAGATCTCCACAGAATAGTTGACACTATTTTTTTTAAGTGACCCAAAAAAGCAATGGCTTGCAGCAGAATTTATTTAGAGGAATTGTCATACAGGAATCTTAATAGAAAAATGCATGGCACAAGGTTGCATTTTTAAAGAAAAAAAAATCAACATTGTTTTACGCAACCTAGATAAAATTGGCAAAAAATTTATATATCAACTCAAATGTCCAACTCCTAAAAAATCCTGGCAAAAATTTAGTGATTACAAACTGACCTTATGTTACAGTATGCACACACCTGGTCTTCACTGAAGAAGATTCGTTCATTTTTTATGCTAATTGTTTGGAGTGTTATCAACTTATGGCAGTCCAACCTACTTTCTTAATAATTAACAATGATTATTAATTAATAATTATTATTTATTATTGCAAGTTATCTTGCAATAAATATTGCAAGACAGTTATTGCAGCTATCTTGCGATAACGCATACTGTGTTTAGAAAGTTGAACTTTTTTCCTTGGATGTAAATCTTCGGTATAAAAAATAAAACACAATGTAAAGAAACTTTTTTTTTTCCAAAAATCAATCCAAAAGAACGGCAAGGGTGTCATATCTAAACAAAATCACCACTTTGGAGAGATTTTCTAATTATATTTCCTTCTATTCCTAGTTATTTGGTGGTCTGGTATGGATCCTGGTGGCCTCTTCCAACGTGCCCGTGCCTCTGCTGCAGGGCTGGGTGATGTTTGTGTCCGTCACCGCCTTCTTCCTCTCCTCTTTTTACCTCATTCTGCTCATCACTGGTTTGGCTGACCGCATCAACACAGACTGGAACTTCTTGGTAAGTGGCACACTTGAAAAAAACAAGTAAAAATCAAACTATTTTTGTCTCCTGCTTGTCATTTCTCTTTTTGTCCTTCATCACAAGTCATGCCGTTTGTACGTCTACCACCACATCTGTGAAAGTTAGATATTACATGCATTTCAGAACTTCCAGGAACTAAACGAGACCTTTAGATAGATATTCAAATGTCACACAAATATTTTGGTCATTAATTGTAAATATAACAGTATGAGTATACTAGTCTTTTACTCATGGTAAGCTCTCTCTTTGATTCAAGAACCAAACTTTAGTCCCACCAGATGTAGTGCAAAAGCTAAACGTAGAATAAGTATTGAAACTGGCCATTAAGATATTTGAAGAGGAGGATGAGATTTATATTGTTAGATTTTATGAAAGCATGGTAAGCTAGTGTTACAAAGCATCATTCTGGAGATGATCTAAGATTTGAAACGGGTAGTCTCACAAGCCACTTCATTCAATCATGTTGATTGGTGCTTTTAAGGCAGAGATGTGATTGAGTGGCAGAACTAAGAGGACATTAAACAACTCATCAAGCAACATGATATTAAACTATACTATAGTAACAATATTTCCTCAGGCTTTCCGAAGATCTTTGAAGGTTTTGTATTTTTCCTTCTTTCCCCTCAATTATTATTTGATTTAGAGTTTTGCACATAACAGCAACATGAGGAGTGAACCAGTTTGTGTCAACGCATTGCTGGAACCTTTTCTGTCAGTCGCAATAAAAACTTGAATAATCATATTCTACTACCATGATCTAATTTTGCAAAGTCATAAAAACTCTGTTTACATTTATGAAGTTTAAAGAAATGCATCAAACAAGTTGCAAAAGGCCTGGCACAGAAAGCATATTTCACATCTTTCCAGGTTTTTTCAGGTAGTCTATTGCATACAGTCACCAGACTGGATGCACAATATAAAAATAGATTATTTCTGTCAAAAATAAAATACATTGAGGAGTGAGAAAGCATGATGTTCTTTCGTTATGTCACTGTTGCGGCCTCTGGGTCAAGTCTGGACTCTCAGACAGAGCGAGCCTTTCCTCCGGCTCCACGCCCTGCTCCCAGAAGTAGCCGGGAGTGTAGGGTTGTTTGTTTTCAGCAGAACAATGAGTGACATGGATGATGAGCTCACACTGAAACGCAATAAAGGGCTCCTTCTTGTCCAGCCATGCTCACAGTAGTCAAAAACAAACTCTCATTAACCCTCCTTCTTCAAACACACCCTGTCTCATTCTTCCCTCTCTCTCTTTTATCTCTTCTAGGAGTCTTTGTCTGACTTTTCTTTTGTTTTTCTGATTTGATCTCAGTTGTATCTTTTCTTTTTTAGTTGCAAGTTAATTCAAAAGGCTCAGTTTTTGAAAGAATACATTGGACTCAACAGTGTCCAATCGGTATAAATATTTACTTATTCTTGAACATGGGTGCTGTATTTAGAATTAATATATTACTGATGTTTATATAAAAATGAACTCAGATCATTCCTGACGATATTCATGGCTAAAATATAAGTTTTCAACATTTTATTCCAATTATTTCACATAAATTTTCCTTCTCTTTTTCAGGATTTCTTCTACCACTTTCTAGCTTTGCTGTTCTACTTTGCTGCTTTTGTGTTGGAGGCGGCAACCACAGCAGCGAATGGGGGAGCTAACATCAACATACAATCAAACAGCACTGGCTCGGTCCTGTGCATAACCTACCCTCGGGGCAACATTTTCACATTGCTGAGCTATAGGAAGTACAGCATTAATGTGGCAGCCACGGTCAGTTCATTTTAACATAAATCACATATAAAATTTACTTCTTAATTACAAGTTTCACAATCTAAGGAGCTGCAGTAAAATAGTAAAGATGTAGATTTACATTTGGTTGACAATAAAGCATATAGTATTTAAGAGGTTTGAGAGAAAGCTATGCAAATATTAGGGTAGTTTAGGGTAATTATTTTAGGGTAATTCTTTCTCAGTGAATGAAAAGTTTTAACAGTGTTGATATTTAAAAATAAATACAGTTCTCAGCCTGCATATTGTATAAAAAGGCACATGATCCTTTTTAATTTTAAACCCATTAATTCAGACTAAAGGTTTTCTGTTTAAACTCAGTTATGATGATCAAAATGATATATTTTCTTAATGCCAGTTTCAGTTTTATTGAGAACGTATTCATTATTTTAAAGTCTATCTTTTTACTTGTACTATTTATGTTTACAATATAAGATATAGTTTAAAGTTTGTT